CTGACGCCACCACCGCCGCCGCCGCTGCCGCCACCGCCGCCGCCGCCGCCGCGCACTCACACAGCCCGAGCGAGAAGACGAAGTTTCTTTCGGCGTGAAGATCGGCTGCGAGTTTCGGCGGTCCGAGAAAGAACTGCTTCAACTTGGCCAACATCGTACGCTGTACCGACGGCTTGATCTGCGCCTAGTGATCGTCACATCGATTTGAGAAAAAAATGTCGTTGTTTTTCAATTGATGTTATAATGTCTATAATATTTATAATGTTTAAAATGTTTATAATATTTATGTTTCTAATGTTGATAATAATTATCATGTTTATATTTTTTTATAATGTTGTTGTTGTTAGTGTGTAAATGTTATTCTTAATCTTAAGGGGAAAGTTTGCACGATAGAAATATGCCTAGCATCGGCTAAAATATTGTTGACGATCCTAAACCGTTTTATTGAAATTGTAAAGACATCTAGATAAGAAATTCGAAGGGTCTGTTAACAAAGGTGTGAAAATGTACAAGAATTTTTGTGCATTTATTCTTGTTAAATATCTACCAATATATTTTATTTATGTACGTATTGCTTGTGATGTATGCATTGACAATTACTTAAATAAACAGATAAAATATACAAAAATATAACGGTCAAATACACTAGGGATGGACCCCCCACCCTCCAGCAATCATTGCTAACCAGCATCGCCAGACGGCAAATAACTTCTCACAGAAAAGGCGCCCGCCCATCTATAAAAACAGACCTCGATAAAAGCGGTGTGACTGTTCGTATGAGATGGCACATTACAAGTTGCAAACAAGTGTTCTAGAGGAAATATCCACCCGCCATTAATACATGCCGATAACTACACACATTGACGTTGCTGGCGGCTAGGAGGATGGAAATAAACGATGTTAATTAGTGTTAATGAACCGATATTGCACGACACTGATTGCAACTATCAATTTCTATTGACGCGAGACAGCGGCCCGAGGAAATAGGTGTAAGAGGATATTTTTGGATGCGCTTTGCAAACACGATCAGCGAAACTTTGTAGATTTCCTTCGGGTGCAGAGATTAGCGTCAGTCTATTTGTTAGACATTGGAATCACTGATTCTCTTGTTCTCATGGGTTGTTATGAGAAAATAATAGACTCCAGGCATTTACGTAATTTGTTATGCCTAATTTTAAGCTCAACTTTTTAGGATAAAAACACAATAATAGCACATTTCACGGGACTTTCCAGGCCCGGAAAATAGCATTTTTAAACTTACTGAAATGAGTTTCCAAATTACTGGGTTTTCCAGGACCCGTACCGAACGCTAATAATGTAGTCAAAAGCAAGTCTTACCGAGTATTCCGTGAGGTCGACATCTTTGAAGAAGCTAATCGTCTCCTTGAGGGACAGCGATGAGGAGGAAGAGATGGCCACCGTCGCGTCGTCACCGCCACCTGCGCAACGTCACATATAAACAGAACTACTCACTTCTCTTTCAGGTCTCAAGCCTTTACCACGGCGTGGATGGGCAGGTGTCACGGTTGACCTGTTTACGCACATTGCCATCCCTACTTGCCATAGTTGCCCTCCCTATTTGCCATAATTGCCCTCCCTATTTGCCATGGGTGACCTCCCCACTTGCCATGATTGCCCTCCCTACTTGCCATAATTGACCTCTCTACTTGCCATAATTGACCTCCCTACTTGCCATAATTGCCCTCACTACTTGCCATGGTTGCCCTACCAACTTGGTATGGTTGCCCTGCCTACTGACCATGGTTACCCTACCATTGAACTTGCTATGGTTGACCTGCATACTTGCCATAATTGCCCTCACTACTTGCCATGGTTGTCCTACCTACTTGCTATGGTTGCCCTGTCTACTTGCCATGGTTGCCCTCCCTACTTGCCAGGGTTGCGCTCTTTACTTGTCATGGTTGACTTTTCCATCTTTGAAACAAATTTTCACCTAAGTGCCTCCCACCAAACTTGCCGTACGATCCTAAAATTTCTGATTTAAACTGAAAACAACAATTTTTCTAGCTTTCTGATTTACAGAAAATGTTTGCCTTGGTGTCTTTCCAACCTTCCACGGTGCACTAAAATGTCTGATTAAGCCAAAGTAAATAAGGTTCTTGCTATAAAAGATTAAAACTCTACCCCAAACTACAACATTTATCGATGGCAGCCATTTGTTAAGCTTTTTTTTGAAGAACATGTTTGCCATGGTGTCTCTCCAACCTGCCACGGTGCACTAAATCAAAGAAAATGCTTTTCCGGCTCTAAAACGTTCAAATTTCACCCCAGCATCAGCATTTTAACGATGGCAGCCATATTGAATCTCATGATTAGTGTACTAGTTGCTTCATATTAATGCACGTTTCTAATACGAAGATCAGCAGATTTGACCCTCAGTGAGATCATCACACTCGTATCCTAGGGATGATGACAGTGTTGCATATGGATGACGTGTGCATACACATATCCTGTCCGCTTATAAATAGATCATGATTGAGTATCGATAGGATGGACGTCACGACGCAGCCTGGTCGCAGGATAATTTCCACTAAATAGGCTCTTTAGATTGCGCCTACGTACGAACTCCTTTACAGTACGTCGTGACCCGTCAATGAAGAATGACTGCTACGTTGTTTGGGCAGAACAACATGTGTGCGTGCCGCGGTAAGTGCGTGCCGCGCGTGTGTGTGCTGCGATGGCGTGCGTGTGTACGTGACGGATGCGCGCCGTGCGAGTGGCGTGTGTGTTGACGGCGTGCGTGTAGTATGTGTGTGTATGCGTGCGTGCGTGTATCGTGCGTGCGTGTGTAGCGTGCGTAGCGAGTGCTCGTGTGTTGTGGCGTGACGAGCGGTGTGCGATGTCGTGCGTGCGTGTGTACGGCGTGCGAGACGTGTGGTGCGTGCGAAGTGGTGCGAGTGTGCGTGGTGGTGCGTGCCTTGCGTGAGCGTGTGTGCGTGCGCGCGTGGTGAGTGTGTGTGTTGCGTGTGTGTAGTGCGTGCGCGTGCAGTGCGTGCGATGCGCGAGCTGACGTGCGTGCGTCGCAGTGGCAGTGTGAAGATGTGACTGTGGTGTGGTGCGTGCGTACGTGGCGTGCGTGCGAGTGTGTGTGTGTGTGTGTGTGTGTGTGTGTGTGTCGTGTGTGTGTGTGTGTGTGAGTAGTGAGTGTGTGTGTGTGTGTGTGTGTGTGTGTGTAGTGTGTGTGGTGTTGTGTGTTGTGTGTGTGCGTGAATGATACGGTAAGGTCTGAGGTGAGGTAATTTAAGCTTCAAGCGCTATAATAATTATTATATATAGAATTTTTCCTGTCTACCTAACCTGCAAGTCACACTCATGGAGCTTGTAATAAAGCGGTGCATTTCTATTCACGTTCCATCGTACTAAATAAACTGTCCCATTTTTTTAACATAATAAATATCGAACAGTTAACGAACTTCAGTGATGACGCTGAGATATAGCTAATGATCTAGCTTAACCAGTTTCGCGGTAATATTCGACGGTACATTAGAATCAATCAGGTGTGCAGCGTCAAAAAATTAATTGTGTAGGTAATTAACCAATTTACTTGAATTATTATTTAATTAAATCTCAAATCCTGTATCTGCCTTCCAAATAAGTAAATGATATTGATATGCAACACGCAGACAAGCGACGGTTTAGTCGACGTTTTTCTTTTGCATTATTAATGTGGAAGCATTATTGGATTGGTAACGCGTAAGGTATGCCTTCAATCATGAAGTGCGACAGCAGAGAGAGCTATCAGCATCCCAGCAGATACTAGAAAACGTAATGGAGGTTCGCACTCATACGCTACCACCGAGCGAGTAAACATTATTAAAGGCCCTTTGAAATCTCATCGCGCCATGGCAACAAGTCTGGCTAAATTAATCACAGTAAACGTAAAGCATACAGCTCCACTGTTCAGCCTGCGTAAAATTAGAACTCGCACCGATAAGTGGGGCGGCGAGTAATGCCGATAGGCCCCGCGGCCGCAGACGTAGGCGCCACAGCAGCATGCAAGCAAGCATCACGGCAGGAGGGCAGTAAGCAGACAGTAGCCAGCAGTAACGAACAGCACAGCAGCAGGCAGTAGCAGGCAACAACACCAACAAACAACAACACCACCGAACCATAAGCAGCAGGCAGGTCAGCACCAGCCAGCGAGCAGCATCAAGCGCAGCAAGCGACCACGCAAGCGCACCACCAGCAGCAGCAGCAGCAGCAACGCTCCACGCACCACCACCAGGGACACGCTACGCCAAGCAACCAGCAGCATCAGCAGCAACACCACCACCGACGCACCAAAGCAGCAGTAGCAGGGCAGCACCAACACACCCCACCACCAGCAGCAAACAGCAGCAAGCAAGCAAACAGCAAGGCAGGCAGCACACGCACCACCCACCAACCGAACCAGCAGCAGCAAGCAATGCAGCAGGCAGCAAGCAAAACCAACAACAGCAGCAGCAGGCAGCATCTAGCCGCCCTTGCGAACGCTCTCTGCACGGCACCAAGTACAGATCAAATACACTCACTACACTATACTTGTTTTCGGGTTGTACAGCGCGAGCAAGACAATCATCTCGAGCAAATGAGGAATTCCGTATTAGGGAAGCGCCACCACCATCCATGTAAACGGCTCTGTCAGTAGCAGCCAATTCCTTACAGAATATCTGGCGTAATTGCCGCCCGTAGCAACCGTAGTCGAAGTGGATCAGCGCCTCGCCCGTAAATAGCTCATGACGTAATAGACTCTGACGTCAATATACGTCTGGACGTCCATCTCTGGGGCTACGTTTCAGCAGGGAGTAGATAATAGGAATGTCCCTATAATCTACTCCTGGTTTCAGAAGACGCGGGTTCCCATCCGCTAAGAGCTATCGCTGTTTCGCGTACGGACGTTCTGCTAAATAGCAGACGCCGGGCATTTAGCAAAGCTATCTTCCTGTACATGTTCAACAGCTAAATAGCGTAGGACACACGAATGCAACGAGGGTCTCCTAAACAGATCGTTATTAGATACACTCGTTGTGCCTTTTCGTCATAGCGTTCCTGCAACGGGGTAATATCGGGGGGGGGGGGGGGTTGTCCACGGGCGGTAATTTACATCTCACAGACAAATGGGCAAGTTATTCTCAGTGAACGCAACGCCGCGTGAATAGCACTTAATAAAAACATTAAATTTCGCCATGTTAATTATTAAAATTTCCAGGCATAACCATTGGAGCGTAAAAAATAATGGCAAACTGTAGTTGAAGTAGGGAATGAGACAGGGGGAGGAGGAACAGACGTAGTAAGAGGAAATGTATTGACTATCATGAAATGGCCATACAGAAAGGAAGGTGAAGCATTCAGAGAGAAGGCGCAAACTAGAGCAGGTTTAAGTAAGGATAGATGAGAATTGATTACTATATGCGTAAATGCAACACGCTGAACGAAACAATAGGCACGGGTTATCAAAAGAGTAAATATAGAGACTCTATTTCCATAGCTACTCTTGATCGTAACATTCTTGCTTGCGTCATGACTGGCCTTGTGGCCATAGAAAGCCTAGGCTGGCACTAGGCCTAACATGCACCAGTGACAGAGACAGAGGATTCTTGCTCTAGATAATGTTGTCGTTAAGGAGGATCGCCCGAAGTTCTTGAGCCTATATGACTGCGCTATAGGTTAAGCCTATAGGCACGCTACAGTAAAATACACTATCAGTTGCAATTCTAATAAACAGAACGCGAGCGCACAGAACGGAGCTAGTAAATTCAGGTTCAAATCATTTCCAAAGCTGGCGACAAATTACATTTTCTCATTACGATTACGTATGAGATAGATTCGATCTCTGAATTTCATTTACTTTCTGTGAATAATTACCGATTGGCCGATGGCATCAACGCGGATTCTAAACACGAGTGCGGCGGTCGGTCGTCGCTCACCGCATCTCGATTGAGCACGGCGACGCAGCGATAAGCACGCACGCATCACTGCAGCACGCACGGCACACGCCCACGCACTCACTGCACACGCAGCGCACTGCACCAGTACACGCACGCACGCAATGCGGCTGTCGCAACTCACTGCAACTACGCAACGCACGTACACGCACGCACGCATCACGTGGCATACGCAGCGCACTCACTGCAGCGCACACGGGACACGTAGCAAGCCGCATGCACTCACTGCAGCGCACACGGTCACGTAAGGGCGGCATGCACATCCACTGGCGCACAACGGCAGTAAGCGCATAAACACGCTCACGTGCGCGCAGCACGCACGTATCACGCACGCAGCTCACTGCATACCACGTGGGATGGGCCACTGCACTGGCACGCAAAACGCACGTAGCATCGCATTGCACTGCACTGTGGGCGCACAACGCACTGGTACACAGCACGCAACATCCAGCTGTGCGCACACGCACGTAGCACGCATGCACGTGCACTGGCGC